GCAACCTCTAAGCAGCAGTATGAAGCTGTGTATGCACCCACGCCACATTTTCATCCATTCAGGTAAGGGCTCTGAGGGGAAGTGCCGGGGGTCCTGGGAGACCACTCTGGTGTGTGCGCACTTTCAGTCCAACACAAGAAAAGGCCAGCCAGCCCCTCCCCTCCAGGGACCAAGGGGGTCACCCCGGCCTTCAGGAGCAGGGGGCAGGGCTTCAGCTGGGTCAGCAGCCCCCAGTGCCCTCTCCCACATGAGACCATGAGACTGGCAGTTGAGGACCCCCTACAGAGGTTTCTGAGGTGTGGCCCAAGCCCCACACCGCACAGCCCCGGGGCTGTCGGTGCTCCCCTGCCCCTGATCCCAGTCAGCACTAGAGATGGTGGTGGAATAACACGGCCACAGCATTCCAAACCTTGACTTTTATTTTTTAATATAAAAAAATGCATTTTGGAAACCCTCCCTACTTTCCCTAACATAATGCTTTACCTCTTAAAAATAAAAATAAAGTACTAATTCTATGTACATCACATGTACCATACAAAAGGTATCCAAAGTTCCTATTGCTACCAAAGGGTCCTAAATTAAAACAAGCTACAGAAAACCCCTCATTGTAAACAAAAGGTTACAAGTTACAAAAGTCAGCACACACACGCCGCCCAGTCAGGAGACCAAGTCCCCTCTACGTGTGGTATAAAAATGCATATCAATATACTTCTGTAAATTTATTTTCATTATAAAGCAAATGAATACAATTTCTACAATAAATAGCCCGCTGGGAGGCCCCAGTGGTTGGAGCGAGGCCGGCAGGGAGGGCCCAGGGTGGGGCAGGACCAGGGCAGGGGCGGGCGCGCGGCCAGGGCTCCGCCAGGCCAGCAGGAGTGTTTTTGGTGAGTTGCGAGTGATAGGCTCTTTCCACAAAGTACCATTCAAAATAATGTCATTTTCTTTCTTAAAATACACGTTTGTCACTGTAAATTTACATCCGTCTTATTAAATAAGCGGTACTTTGTGTAAAGAGTGTGACTTACAAAATTACTCAACATTCAAAAGTCTTTTAAAAAGCTACGGATCAAAGGAGGCGGACGCAGCACCGTCAGGCAGAGGGTGACCGGGTGACCCCGCTGGCCACGCCCTTTGACTGGCGTCCTGGACAACTGAGAACGGCCTCCCTCCCCCGAGGAGGAAAAGAACAAAAAAGCTACAACTCGAAATCAGAATAAGTTAAGTTCTGAACAATATACAGATATGTACAGCTATGGACACTATAGACAGGAGGCGGCTCAGTCTATGTCGCTGAGGTCGCTGACCGGCTCCCCATGGACGCGGCTCAGGTGGTTCATAGCGCGGTCGAAGGCCACTCGCACAGCCTTGCGGATGCTGGAGTTCCTGCCCTCCATCATCTTCAGCTTGTCGATGGTCTCGTCTACCCCCAAGGGCACCATCTTGGACTTGGGCAGCCATTGCCTTAGTGAGGAAGGGGAAGACTGTCAGGCCTAGGCCCAGGCGGGGACCCTGCTCCGGGAGTGGGGGGTCGACTGTCAGGCCTAGGCCCAGGCGGGGACCCTGCTCCGGGAGTGGGGGGTCGACTGTCAGGCCTAGGCCCAGGCGGGGACCCTGCTCCGGGAGTGGGGGGTCGACTGTCAGGCCTAGGCCCAGGCGGGGACCCTGCTCCGGGAGTGGGGGGTCGACTGTCAGGCCTAGGCCCAGGCGGGGACCCTGCTCCGGGAGTGGGGGGTCGACTGTCAGGCCTAGGCCCAGGCGGGGACCCTGCTCCGGGAGTGGGGGGGGTCAGCAGAGCATGCAGTAAGTGTGAGGGGAGGGAGGCAGGCACTGGGAGACTTCACAGCAAAAGCAGGGGGAGGCCGGATAGGAGGACCCTGGGCCCAGAACCGCCTGGGGGGAAGCGCAGGTGCTGTGTCCGCCGGCCGCCCCCACACAGGCAGGCCTCACACACGCACCAGCTCCGCTTGTTGTCGAAGAACAGGACCAGGAAGAGCTTCTCGTCTGCCTTGGTCTGCATGTGCTCGCCGATCTTGAGCACGTCCAGAGGCGGGGCCGGGATGGTGACCCCGTTATGGTGGCCCGGCACTCGGGGCATTTTGGGGTCAATGATCTGTGTAGAAAGGGCAAACTCGGTCGCTGTGTGCAGCAGGATGCCGTCAGCGTGGGGGTCACCAGGGTCTGCACCCACACGGACCATGCAGGAGGCACTGGAAGGTGGGCCTGAACACAGGCGCAGAGCCATCAAAGGGCCCCAGACGGGCAGCTGCACAGCCCTGGTCAAGAGCGGGGGTGGCCATCTAGCCCCATCCTCGGCACCACTGAGAATAACGAGGGCACCAGCTCAGACACCTAGGGGTCTGGTCAGTGGGCACCTGGCTGCCCCACTCTCCCCAGGAAGCCAGACACCCACAGGAAGTGCTTGGTTTCTACATCGTGCCCACCCCCCGGGCCCCCAGCCCACTCACCAGCGCGGGGTATGATGGGTAGCCGCTGCACTTGGCCCACACCACCTTCAAGGGCTCGAGCACGGAGGCTGCGGCGTCCGTGGAGATCCACACGCTGCTCTGACCCACCTCTGGGAGGACAGTAGTGGTGGTCAATGCCATCCTGCCTTCCCCCAGTACGTGGGCCCCATGGGCCCCATGGGCCCCATGGGCCCCATGGCCCCCACGGCACTCCATCCACCAGTAGACCCCGCCCTCGGGGTTCCACCCGAGCACTGACCGGCGGCGATGCGGGCGGCCCGGGCATAGTTTCCGTTCTCGATACAAGAGATGAGCTCACTGCGGTCGTCCAGCGCATGCCTGCGCACCAGGGCCGGCTTGCCGCGGCCACACTTGGGCGTGCTGAAACTGCAGGGGGCACATTAGCACCGGACGGCACTCCCGCCCATCCCCCCACCCCGCAGGCCTGTCCCCCCCACCGGACATCGAGTCTCGCTCACCTTGAGTCACAGAGCAGGCTGTTGCTGGAGGAGATGCTAGACTCAGAGGCACAGCGGCGCCGGGGTGTGGCTTTCCTCCCCGGGGCGCTGCCCAACTCCTGCTCACCCTGAGCACCCCCAAAGCCGTTAGTGAGACCTGGAACGGGAGGGAGCAGAGCTGAGCAGACAGGACCTGAACCTCGTGCAGATCCCCAGCTGCCCCAGGACATCATGCGGCGAGCGCCAACTCAAACCACAGCCTGGCGCGGTAACTCTGGTAGCCAGCGTCACCACCTCTACTGGAAGGGGCTTGTGATGGGCATGGGCTAGCCAGGCCTGCACACCGGCAAAAGCCCACACCCCAAGCTTTGGGGCGGGGACAACCAGTACCCTGCCCTCACCTGAGTGTCACCGCCTGCCCTGTGGGAGGGGAGGGGTCTGAGCCCCGGGTCCCACTGGCCTGCAGGCTCTCAGCAGAGCCCATGATAAGCCAGCAGCAGGGCTGGCCCATGCACACTGGCTGTGTCCACACAAGGGCCCAACACCAACCCTGCTGCCACCTCCAGGACCAGACTGTCACAAAGCATTTCTTCTCAGTGTCTCCAAGTGGCGGCAGGATTCCAACTCTCAGCTGAGGTACCCGTGCAAGCCAGCTCATCAGGAAAGGTGGCTTTATTGGTGCTGGTGGCTCCGTGCCAGTGCCTGGCCAAACCTGACTGCGGCCACTGGGCAGGCAGCCCCACATGACGTATTCGAACGTGAGACAGAATCAGGGTGCCAGCGGGAACATGACACTGGGATGCTGCCGCTTCCCAAGTCCGCCAACAAGCCCAGCCCGCTTCTGTAGCCAGTAAAACGGGAGTGGGGGGGTGGGTGTGTGTGCAGCCGGAGACAGCCTTCCCAGCACACCAGGCCCCATTAGGGCCTCAGACCCGGCAGAAGCCGGCATTCAGTGTGGGACCACCTCTCCCAGGAAAGCCCACAGCTGCTGTGATGAGCCTGGTCTGCAGAGGGCTTTCGCCTCGGCTCTCTGGAAAGCAGCTTGAGACGTCCCTCCGTCGGTGTGTTCTGCCCCACAGGTTAGCTGCACACTCTTGTCCAGGTCGACTGGCGTTTTCTGGGTAAACTGAACAACTTGTGGTTTGGTACTTCTGCCTGGCCCTGGGCTGCACCCGTCCTGTGACAGGTCTATTTTATGCACCGTGCAGATTGGTCTGTAGACTTTGCAAAGGAAGTGATGACGACGTCGGTCCACCGAGGGGCCTGGTCAAGAGGCCATGCTTGGAAACAGCCAAGGAGTATGCTAACATAGGCAGGCAGCCCCCCAGGGGAAGGGCGGAAAGGTCAACCCAAGGCAAGCAGAGGCAAAGGACCCGACCAGAGCTTGCTGGGGGCGGGAGCAGTGCAGAGGCCCAAGAAACGAGAGGCCTGTGGGGAGCAAGGAAGCCAGGAAGAGTCTGGCCTCACAAGGCTCAGTGGCCTGTCGTGTCTCGAGGGTGCTGAGGGACTAAAGGCAAGTGTGGCCTGAGGGAGCCGGGAGGAGCCTGTCCTCACAGTGTCAAGGTCTGCTCGGCAAGATGGGCCACGTGGTTGCCGGGCAGGAGGAGCTGGGGGGGGTTGGGGGAGCCTGGCACTGTGCCAAGCCGTGCCCTCTGACTTCAGTAGGCCAGTGGACTAACGGGCAGCCTGTGAGTTCTGCATGGTCAGTGCAACAGTTCTGGAGCTCAGAAGGTAAGCAGACATGGCAGCCACAGTCCGGACAGCTGACGTCAGAACTGGCAGAACAGTGGGAGAGGACAGGTGCACCTGACCTTCGTGTCACAAGAACCAACTCTGGGTTGATTCGGGTTCTTATTACACACACAGTGGTTCTCAATCTGTGGGTCGCGACCCCTTTGGGGGCAGGGGTCGAATGACCTTTCACAGGGGTCGCCTGGTTCACAACAGTAGCAAAATTAGTGAAGTAGCAATGAAAATAATTTTACGGTTGGGGAGTCACCACATGAGGAGCTGTATGAAAGGGCCGAGAACCCCTGCTCTAGACAGCTCTGGAGGTGCTGCTGCTACTGTGGCAACTAGGGCTTCACACCCTGGTCCCCCGAGGACGGTCACGACCAACAATGTGACCCGCTTTGTAAAATGTGTGTGGATGAGAATGGCGGCTGATAGGAACTGACTCTCTCATGGTTAACGAGGGCTCTATACACGCCTCAGCCCCACTTCTAGACCAGGACACCCCACCTACGTCGGCACCCCGTTGTGACACTTTTGACAGTGGGGTGCTCGCCCATCCGGTTCCGTCCAGAGGGGTCACCGGCCGCTTCCACGTCTCCCAGAGTCCCGACCTGTCGTTTCCCCATTCCAGTCATCACAGTACTTGACCCAACGTTCCAGACTCCAGGTCAGACCCTCTTTGGCTGTCTCCACCATGACGAACCTGCTCCGTGCCCTGGCGGCCTCACACCTGTCAATCCTAATGCTGACCTGGAGGGACTTCAATGTGAGCTCACGAGGAAAGTCACCGGCAAGGGCAGCATGGGGCCACAGTGGACTGTGGGGAGGAGCCTTGATCAGGACCCTATCCACCACTGAAGGTCCTGCTGCACCTACACGGCAGGTGGCTGTGGCCCCTGGGGAGGCGGCCGCTCTGTGAGCAGAGGAAGCACCTTCACACCTCCAGCACCACCATAGGCACCGGGAAACCTCTGGCACGGGCGTGAGCAGCAAGAACCCACAGGTCAGAATCGGCACGGGTGGCAGACACACAGGGTACGAGCTCAGGAGTCTGCACACACACAGCGAGCGCGTGCAGTGACGTGGAAGAGGTTGGCGGCTCACAGCCACCTGGTGCTACACCCTGCCCAGGCTGCTGCCGTCCCTGCATAGACCCAGGCGTGCCACCAAGACATCCTAAGGCGGCTAGTTACCTACGCGAGAAATCCCTCACATTTCACCAGACCAGCAGGAGCCAGGTCCCGCTGGGGCACAACATCCAGAGAGGGCAGAGGAGGCGTGGAGTCACGGGCTCTGCTGGGGACAGCAATGGGAGGCAGCCTGGCTGGTGGACAGAGCCTGGTCTGAGGGCCACCACTCTGCAGGGCCTGGTGTCACTGGAGTCCTCCCTCAGTTCTGGGGAAGCAGAGACGACCTTGTGGCAGTCACCGAAGAACCCGGGGGCCCGGAGTACCCGTCCTCCATCAGAGTTGCCCACAGCAGCCACACCCCACATCGGGGAGCCAGGGTCTGTTTTCTCCCACAAAGGGGCACGTGCTGGTCCACTCAGCAGACTGCTGCTGCTGAACTCAAGTGAGCGCTCTCTGCAACGGGTCAGTCTCCAAGGCAGGTGTTTAATGACTGATGGTCCCCGAGGGGTGAGGGTCTGAGGCAAATGAAGGAAAGGAACTGCGGAGCGCGCAAGGAAACTTCAAGCCGGAAGTGCGCAGTGGGCCAAGCTCCTGACACAGGCCGTGGGAAGGAGGGCAGGCCTTCGAGTGCATGGGCCCAGGAGGGCAGTCAGCAAGCAGGCCTCTTGTCCAGTTATATGGTCCACAGACGCAGCAGGTGCCAGACCTTTCCTGGGTGCACGTGCGCCCTCAGACTGCAGACAGGAGGGAAGATGAAAGCGGGGATCCCAGTGCTCGCTGCAGAGTAGGATCAGTGCTCCCTCAGGCTGGCTGCCCCAGCACAACCCACACTATGACAATGTGGCAGTGTCTCGGAGCCTAGCCGGCCATCAACAGAGCCCCAGCCTCAAGTGGACTGTAAGGAAATAGCTTGCATCCAGGGTGGCAGCCACCCCGCTGAGCAGAGATTAGCCAGCAGTCTGACTGTGCTGGCCTGAGTGCAGTGCCTCCTCCCTGCACGGTTCCCTCACAGCCGCTCACTCTGACCACTGTCACTCGGTGGCAGAGCTGCTGAGTAGACACACGGCGTGGTTCATTCCATTGTTTGTCCCCTGCTGGGACCAGAGACAAGGCCATGAGCTCACAGCGGGGGCTCTGGAAGCCTGGTGTTGACATCGCAGAAGCACAGACTCCTGATGGGCAGTTAAGGGCAGCCCCTGAAGCCCAAAGGTCCCAGGCAAGAGGGGGATAGGGTCGGGGCGCGGGCACCAGGCAGGACCCGGGCGAGGGGTAACTGCGGGCAGACGTCGGCAGGCCCACTTGGGGTGGCTGGTCTAGGCCGCACCACCAATGCACACTGGCTCTCGGGGGTGCTCAGGGTCTCCTCGGGTGCCCACTGACTCTACTGCCACTCTGGAACAAGAAAGCAGAGACTGCATTCAGTCAGGGATGGGGCACAAGTCCTCCAGATCACTCTGCCGGCTCATTCCATCAATCCATCACCCAGCGCCAGAGTCACGCCAGACTCGCCATCGGGACCCGCTGTGTCGAAGCTGCTGCAGCGCACCCAACCTCACGTAAGACCCTGCGGGGAGGCTCGGCAAGTCCAAGAGCCATTGGGTCTGAGCTTGGCCCAAGTCTCGTTGGGCGGCCACCTGAAGGGTCACCCTGAGCAGAGGCTCACATTCAACCACAGTGAATCCTCCTCTGTGAGCTTCATCACCTCGGCCACAGGGCCAGCTCACTGTGGTCAACAAACACCGTGTTTTTATCCAGAGAAACCAACCGCTCACCAGGGCTCTTCCACAGCTGGTTGTCCCCAGCACATCTCCAGGCCTTGCCTGGGGCCCAGTGGACAGACCAGCAGGGGACCTGGTCTCTGCAGGTGCTTTAGGCCAATTGCAGCGGGGACTCTTGCACCACTGGGCCCACCGTAGGACCGGTCCTACATGCCCGCACTCCATTGTCCACAAGTAGCCACCAGCACAGGCCCAGCCAGAAGAAAACACACAAGAAGCCAACAGAACACACCAAACGCGATCCCCCCTTCGATTTAAGACAAATAAAAGTGCCTGCGCGTCATAGCTGGTTCTCAAAAGGCCAGACCCTGAGCAGTCGTCGGCTCTGTGCCCCCACCCCGGGGATCGTACCCTGGGCACACAGTCCCACGCACCCTCCAAGGCTTCAGAATGGAGGGTTGACTCCGCCCAGGGAATTCCGGATGGTCACACGGAATTCCGTGACGGGACACCACCCCATCTGCTGTAACGCAAAGCACACACACCGTGTGCAGACCAGTCCCACACTCGTCAGAAAGGCGACGGACCGCGGCAACACAGAGACCCCCATAGGAGCTGGGGGGCATGCACAAAGCTGCCACAGCAGCTCCGCACAGCGGCTCAGGGCTCTCGCCCACATGCCTCTCCCCCTCCCCCAGCCTGGAGGAAATGCCCAGAGGGCCCTGCCCCGCCCCAGCCCGGCCCCAGCCCACGGCCCTGCACATGGCCCTCACCTGTGTCCAGGCGCTTGCCCGGGGGCTCCTCTTCCGCCTCGGAGTCCCCGCATGTGCTCCGCGACCTTTTCCGGGGCTGCAGAAGAGTCTCCAACCTCGGAAGGACTACAGACAAAAAGGTTTTGGTCCCTAGCTGAGGAGAAGTTGGCCGGGTCTCAGTGTTCTTGGCAGACTTTGGGGGGCTTACACTTTTCGATTTGCAGAAGAGAACAGAGGTGCGTCTGTTCACATCGCTGGAAGGCTCCGCCAGCGCGGGGGCGGCCGGCGCGGGGCCTCCGCTGGCGGGAGAGGGCGCGGCAGGGTGTCCGTGCGCCTGGGCGCTCTGAGCACAAGTGCCACTATGTGACTCATTACCAAAAGTGACTCGTTTGAATAGTTTACTCTGCCCGGGGTTGAGTCCTACTGGGTTGAGGGTTGGTGGTTCTGAATTAGTCTCCGAGTTTGAAGGAAGAGGTAATGCATCTGATGGTTCAAGTTTAGGGGGAGATTTATCTCCTGAAAAAATTATAAATAAGGTGATTTTGAAAGCGGGTAATGATAAAGTCTGTTATAAAACGTACTACAAACGTGAAGCCAGTTACGGAAACAAGCACCACACATCGCTGTTTTGCTGGGCCCAGCGCGGACGGACCCGTGGGCTGTGGCGGGCATACCGCTTCTTGGCAAGTCCCGTGCTGGCACCCCACTCTCGCCAATTCTCAACACAGCAAGGTGCTCAAGCACGCTCTGGGCCACTTCTAGGCCAGCAGCTGACTTACCTTGAGGAAGAAAATAAGTCTCTGCCCCCGCCTCCCAGGCCCCCACCCAAGGGACCCGGACACTGGCATTTCCAGATGATTCTCACAGGGCCAGGAGGCCAGCTAACAAGAGGAATCAGCCCTTAGAAGCCAGTCCTGACACTGCTAAATCACAGCCAAGGAGCAGAACCAGTTGTGAGCTGCCTGTGAAAGACTGCTACTGGTGACGGAAATGACCCCACAACGTTGTCACGGGGCTTTGAAGATAAAAACACAAACTCTGGGAGAGCTCTGGGATGTAGGAAATTATTTCAAAAGCTCTTTAAAAGCATTTAAAAAGGAGCGATCGCTAATGGAGAATTTACCACAGAAGGAAGGGCCTTAGGGCTCAACCCTGAGGCCGGTGACCCAGGAGATACCCGCGAGGGCAGGAGAGGCCCAGGGCCACCAGGCCAGTGGAGCGTGACGCCACAGGGTGGGCAGCTTTTTGAGCGAGTCCAGTCTGGGCTATACAAGTCCCACCTAAATGAAGAACAAGCCCCTAGCGGTTCCCCTGCTATCATGCGAGAAAGGACTCCAGAAAGTTTGTGGGGAAACTTTTAAAGTCCCCTCAGCATAGGAATAGTTTGTGTTTTAACCTGCAAACTTTCCAACCACTCCTTGAAATAATACGTATAAGCCCATCATAAGTAATACGTGTAAGTAGGTAATATGTATAAACAGGTAACAGATATAAACCAGTAAAACCAAAGCCCAATATTGCGGCCGATTCCAAATCCCTCACAGGACGAGCTCCTATAGGGAAGGCCCGCACGGAGACGGAGTGGCTGAGGGCTGACCGCTCGCTGGTTCGGTACCTTGGCACACCTCACACCCTGCTTCCTGTGCAGGCGCTTAGCTGCCTACCTGTTTCCTGCTTTTACTCCTTCCAGGTCTACAGTGGGTGTCTGTGACCAGAGGGAGCCCTCCTCAGCCTTTCAACTAGCGGTCTCCTCCTCAGCTCTCAGGGGTCTCACATCCCAGTCCCACGAGGGTCCCTCCTTTTCACTTCCCACTCCACTCCACAGGTACCTGAGACCACCCAGTACCCAATCCCCTGGCCTTTTTCCCCAGCTGACAAGACCTCCACTCCCAGGAGGCTGCTAGGCTCACCTTGCAGAGCCTGTCAAAACCCTGAGTCTGCCCACTCCTGCCCAGCACTGCCCCTCGGTGGCCAGCTCTCCTGCCCTGCGTGCCACCTAGGGCACCCAGCACTGCCCTGGGCTTCCCATGACCGCCCCCCCTGCAGCACCCACCTCGAGCACTCCTGATTTTAACTGTGTGGAGAGGGTTCTAAGACAAACCTACCCAACACTTCAGCGTAACTGCTCAAAAGAGCTTCCCACTATACCCAAGCCCCTCCACCATCAAGTGGCCCAGAGAGCTGGTCCTCAGCACAGGGAGCCAGCCAGGCAGGATGTATGCAGACCTGGGATGGTCTCGTATCACTGTCCTCGCACCTGCTCCCCACACCTAGTCTCTTGGGGAGCTCACTCTGGCCAGGTCCAGCGGGATCCCCATGGTCAGATGCAGTCATCACACCTGGCTCCATCCCTGCCACAGCCCAGCTCTCCAGTCTGACTGCTCAAGGTTCCAAGATTATCAGACTTATTTTGCCAACTCTCGGTATCAACTCCATGTGTCCCTCAGCCCACCCTGCAAGACAAGGACGTCTACCTTCAGAGGGGATGCCAGCTGTGAGGTGCCAACCTCCAGGTGGCCCACACACAGCTCTGAGCCACCAGAACAAGGGAAGCCTTTACCTGAGTTGGGCATTGTGTCTAACAGAAGCACAAAGCAGGATCCTTTTCGGATGCTTGTGGCTTTTTATGCCACAACGGAAGCCGAGGTGCCCGTGAGCCTAGTCAACGGGCAGATGCCACCTGGCCTCCTGCAGCCACTCGCCCTACCTCTCCATCAGCTGCGAGGTGGCCACTGTGGATCTTTCAGCTCAGCCCCACCGCCCCCCCCACTTGCTCCCCAGGCCAAGGCTGCACTTCAAGCCCTGCAGGACACTCAGACCACGGGTCACCACATGTCCCAACACTGCAGGCTGAGAGATGCTGGGCTTCCGTCTTGGCAGCAGTGACGGGAAGCCCTTGTGTCTACGGCCCAGACCGGCTGTGCCTGGCCCTACCCCAGCCTGGCGGTTCCGAGCTGAGGCGATGGCAGAACAGACGACATGAAAGACGCAAGAGAAGAAACAAAAATGTCGCCCGTGAAGTGTCCGTGTTCTTCAGAGGCGGAGGAGGAAAAAGCATTTCAGTGTGGTGTTTCCCATCTCTCCAGAACGGCGGCAACGGCACAAGTCACTCACGAGTTACTGTGAGGGATTCAGAGGCCACGGCGGTTGACCAGGTGGGTGATGGGGCCGGCCCATGGCCCACAGCATAGTAAACTTTTAAAACAAGTGAGAACTTCGTGAACCTTCTTGTCAATCACAAAAAAATTGTTCAAAAAATAAAAAGTGGGGTGAAGAGTCACACAGATGACAAATGTGTGTGCATGCGTCGTCTTTAATAATCTTGCTATTTCCACTGGGAGACACGAGTGAAGAAGATCGGTTCTGCTGACGGATGTGGTAGGGAGGGGTCTTACTCTACTCCGTGCTTCTGTGTAAACGTCTTGGAGAAAGAATTGTGTGGCGACTCTGAGACTGGACAGAAGCATGTTCTCCACAGCTGAAGGCTCCCTGACAGCGACTGTTCAGTGGGCCATGGAGACCCCGTTAGGGAGTCCGGCCAGCACTGCCCTTCCTTGCAACGTCCATCAGGAAGGCCAGTCCTCCGCACCACTTCCCCCAACAAGGATGCCCAAGATCCCTGTTTCCAGAGACCCCTCAGCGGGGCGCGCCATGTGTGATCGCTGCGTGAGGCTGAGCTCCAAGCACCCGCTGCCCTGCACGGCGCCTACAGGCTTTGTCCTCCCACCTGCACACCCACAGCGCCGCTTCCAGTCCGCCAGCTCCTCCTGGTGGCCGCGCAGCAAGCACCATGCTACTTACTCGCCTCACAGGACTTGTGGCAGCCCCGTGCCATTCACCTGCACCGCTGCCCACACGGTCAACCGTGCGGTCGCCCCCAGCACCGCGTCTAAAGGGGCCAGCGGTGGCCGGTGCGCCCCACGGAGCGCGCCCCCGCGCGGCCGGACGGCAATGCTCGGCTTACCTGCATCCCCCGCCTCCTGCTCCAATGGAGCCCCGTCCTCTTCGAAGCTGCCAATACCTGACTCCACGGGCCGCGGGGGCTGGCTGGGCTGCTGGCTCAGCTTGTTCCGCACAAGGGCAATTTCCTTTTTGAGCAGCTTGGCCCGTTTACTCCTAGACCCGCTGGACTTCATCGAGCAGGTCAGGTCCAGTTTGTCCAACAGTTCCCTGAGCTGCTCCTCCAGGCTCATGTGCACGCGGTTGGCGGGGTTCAGCAACCTGTCCACTGCAGCCAGGAAGACACGCAACCTGAGACCCGGCTCGTGCCCAGCCCCCTGCCCGGGGGCCCAGCACCCTGGCCTCGGCCTGGGCTTACCTTCCTCCCAGGAGAAGGGCCGGGGGGGCGCCGCCGGGGGCCGCTCGGGCAGGTGCATGCCAGTGGCCTCCTCGAAGCCGACGCTCTCCACGTGCCGCCGCGTCTGCCGCAGCACGGCGCCGCCCTGGTCGCGCAGGCGCACAGCGGCGCGGTAGAAGACCGTGTCCTTGGCGTTGTACTTGAGGCAGTTATCCACGATGAGGTTGAAGTCGTCCTCGAACTCGGCCAGGGCGCTGTAGCCCTGCGCCTCCAGCCGCTTTCTCATGGTCGCAAAGTCCATGGGGTGCGAGATGTGGTCCAGGTAGTCGGGCACCTGGTTTGGGGGAGAAGACGGCCGCTGAGAGCGCAGGAGCCGCTGTCGCCGCACGAACGCTCATCAGCGGCCAGCCAGCTCGCGGCCGGCCGGCTTCCCCAGGGCTCACCCACGCCGCCGCAGCCCCGCCCTCCGCCCGGTCGGCCCGGCCCGGCCCGCCCCGCCCCCAGGCGCACCTCCTTCAGGCTGACGGGCTGCGCGAAGATGCGTGCTGGGTCCTTCTCCTGCAGCTGGTCGAGCACTGAGCGCAGCAGCACCGTGAACGGGGTCAGCCGCAACTCCATGGCCATCTGCTCTGTCTTCACCTGCGCAAGACCCTGCGCATCAAGCTCCTGCCGCCGCCGCCGCCGCCGGCCCGCCCAGACCCCACGCGCGGCTCACCTGCTCCCGCTTGAGCTTCTCCCGCTTGCGCATGAGCTCGATGAGGAGGCGCGCGCGCTCCAGGTCGTGGCGCAGCCGCTGCCAGTACTTGAGCTTCTCCTTGGCGGCCCTCATCTCCTCGTCGTTCTCCCTCTGAGGAAGCCAAGTCGCCGGGGTGGCACCCACCTCAGGACCACCACTCCCCTACAGGCCAGGACACCCTACCCAAGGCAGACCAGCACCCAGGGCGCTCACCACTGCACCCACGCCCACCTGCCCAGAGGCCAGGTGCCCTGGGGACTTGGCACCGTCCCGGCTGTCCTGATGGGATAGTATAAACCCCACATGGCAGGCACCCTGTGGCAGTCAGGGTCACCCTCCCAGCCCACAATTATCAGTCTCTCCCTCTCCAGCACCCAGAGCCCAGCTCAGAGTCCAGTCACCTCCACGCAGAACACCTATGTCTTCACCGACCCCCCCCCCAACTCCTCCAAAAGCCCCCTACCTACCAGCCAGACCCCACGCCTGGGCCCCTCTAGTACTAGGCTTAAAGACCCAGCAGCAAGCCCCCCACACTGCTGCTGGCGCAGTCGACGCTGGCCTTAGAAAGGCGCGGCTGACCCTGCAAGGTGGGCAGGAGCCGCAGCGGCAGCAGCAGCCCACGGTGGAGACGGTGCGGGGCGGGCATACCTGCTGGCCGCTGCGCTGCGACTGCAGGCTGGACTGGAGTCGCCGAAGCAGGGGCGCGCCGTTCCGAGAGAGCCGCTTGAGGAGCCAGTAGCTGTGTGCTCGCTCTACAAACTGCTTCTTCCGCTGGATGGACACCTGGTTTACTATCTTACTTAACCTGCAACACGGGGAGGGGCTCAGTTTAGCACCACCCTGCAGTCCAGACCCCAGGCCCATCAGCCCCCAACACCCCTGGCTTATAAACCACCACTAGAAAGGTGATGGTGCTGAGCCCAGAAACCAGGAGGCTGCTACTGTCAAGCCCTTGCACCACCACAAGCGAGGGATACCAGGGAGAGTTGGGAGGAGGAAGAAGCAAGGGGTGCCAGACCCCTGGGGGGAGGGCCAGGATGGTGGCCTCAGTCAGTCCCCTGGGGCATGCCGGGAACCATGGTGCAGCTACGACAAACCTTGCAAGAGATGGTGGTCAGCTGAAACCAATGGCCACCACTCTACTGCCCAGCCCATTGTGCGCAGGTCCTTGGCAGATGTCCAGCGTCACAAAGGCTGCCTTCCCCGTGAGCAAGTCACCAACAGCAACACAAGCTGCAGCAGGAGGCGTCACCACGCTTCAGATTGTTTACGGAAAGCAACACCCAGGCCCTGGCCCTGGGGGCTCAAACCCACCCACTGAACCACCTCTGTGACGTGCTATCTCACAGAAGCCACAGCGGACGACTCTGCTGACCACCTCTACGCCTAGACCCCCTCAGTGCTCCACAGGCATAGTCCCCCAATCATCTGTCACAACTACTGGATCTCAAAACCATTCCCACGTGTGTCCTCAGGCTCCAGACAAGTGTGAGTCACAGAAAGGGGGTGAGGTGCAGTTACCTCTAAGTGATGTACCTATGGGGGCCAGACCCAAAAAGAAGCAGACAGGTGGGAGCAGAGTGTGACTCCTACTCTGTTCAGAACTAGGCAGAGAACTAGGCAAACAGACCAAACGCCAACAAACCATTCTCATTTTGTTACTCTCTAAAACGTTTTGGAAATGGCCCAAGTTAATTTTGTGATGTGAATTTTATCCCTGAAAAGCACAACAATGTGAGTAAATTAATGTTTGAAACATTCACTTAGGCAGAGGAGTGGATGAACAAGACATGGTCTGTACACCATGGAAAACTGACCAGCCATGAAGGAAACAAGGCCCTGATACTGACCACCTAGGACGGGCCTTGAACACACCTTGCTGAGCATAAGGAGTTGCAGAGGAGCAAGTACTGGATGATCACATGAAACAAGCAAATATTCAGAAACCAAACTGTAATGCTGAATGCTTTGTGTCAACCTGGTTCGGCTGTGAGTCTCACCGGACCAGACGCACCTCCGTAATGCAATGTGATGCACTCTCCTTCCATGATGTGAGCAGCCAAGCAGTAGAAAGGGGTGCTTCCTTGGCAGCATGGCCTGCCTTCTCTCTCTTTCAGTCTCCTGACCTGGGATTCCTGGGACGTGAAGCCGCAAGAGCCTCCAGCCTGCCCTGCAGATGTAAGATTCGCCTGCCTCCACAACTGAGTGAACCATTTCCTTGAAGTAAGTCTCTAAATACAGATTTTTAAATGTTTTACAAAGGTTTGCTCTTCTGGAGAACCCAGACCAAGACAAAAACATTAGTACGTTACAGGGGCAAGAGGAGGTGTCTATGGACACGGAGTTTAAGTTACTGGCAGTGGAAGAGTTGGCAAAAGGGCAGAGAATCAGTGTCACTGAATTACTCCTGTGGCCACTGTTGAATCGGGGTCTACTTTGCTGTATATTTTCACACACACACACACACATATGCAAAAATCCTAGGCGTTAAACAGGGAGGGTAAAGGGAGAGTGGGTAGGAAAGAGGGAACCGATTACATGGAACTGTGTGTGACCTCCTCCCTGGGGGACAGACAACCAAAGTGGATGAAGGGAGACGTCGGACAGGGCAAGATATGACAAAATACCCATTTATAAACTATCAAGGAGCGGGGAGGGAGGGCAAAAATGAGGACCTAATGTCGGGGGTTTAAATGGAGAGAAAATGTTTTGAGAAACGATGTACAAATGCGCTTTACACAATTGATGTGTGTATGGATTGGGATAACAGTTGTATGAGCCCCTAATAAGATGTTAAAAAAGAAAAAAAAACAAATTAAACATAATCAAACCATAGTGATTAATCACAAAACAGTATGTAATTATATATTGTGAAATATTTATTTCTAATTACAAATAAATGAAATTTTGTCTTGCTAAAAAAAAAAAAATCCTAGACGTTCTGAAAGAAACTACTCTCAAAACTATGTAATGGTCACTCAAAAAAAACCAAAAAAAAACAAATCCCACTGCCACTGAATCCCTTCTGACTCACAGTGGCCCTGTAGGACAGAGCAGAACTGCCCTTGTGGGTGTCTCAGACTATTTTGTCTTTCTCCATGTAATGGTTATACAACATGATTCATGTACTTGATATCACTAAACTGTACTCATGATAAATGCTGAGTTGACAAATGTACTCTAGTTTTATAATGGCAGATGTGTGTACACATGGCTCGTACACACAATGTTGTAGTTCTGCCCACTGAGAGGGCCTACAACCAATGACACCCCAGGGGCTCTAAGCACCCCAACACCCACGTCTTGGCTTCTAAGACCATTCTCCTACACTAGGAGCCAGGGCTCCTTGGAGAAACAAATGAGCGATTCCAGGAATGTGCTGGGTGTGCCTGGAGGGTCTTACAGCACCCCCACATCCAGAAGCGTAATAAACAAGCCAGAAGCGTGGGCCTGGGCCATCAATACATGTATGTATGCAGACACTCCTGACACCCACAGATACCCAGACTAATCACCAGGTAGGTGAGCGAGGCAAGAGCCTCCCAGAGGGAATTCCATACACTTACAGACCTTGGAAGAGGGGGCAGAAGACATGAGAAGGCAGCAGGGAGGAGCAGAGGTGGCTTCGCGGTGAGAACCTCAACCAGTGTGTGCGGCTAGCCTCAGAGTGGTGAGAGCAGCCGAGGGAATGTGTGTGGTGTGAAGAGAAGGGCGCCCCCTCTGTGGTCCTCGGTTCCTCATGAGACGATCGATCGAGCTTGACGCCTCAGTGCCTTTCCCCAGCGATGCTGCACAAAGGCTCTGAGCGCACTCCTGTGCGCAGCCAGCCAGCCTGCCTCCCTACCTCTCTTGTGCGCGCACGGTGCCTCCCTGGGAGCCCAGGCTCAGGGGCTCCGGGCCAGCACCCCACAATCATGGAGCTGCCCTCAGCCCCTCCTCGACCATGGTCATGGCTCAGCTTCCTCACGGCTGCCAAGACACCTGCAGGTGTCAAGTGACCCAGGGTCCCTCCTGGAGGGCTGGGGAGGACAGGGGTGCCAGGGTGTGGTTGGAGACATCACCACACAGAACTATGCGGTTCCTTAGCAACCCCACACCCATCTAGCCCCTTCCTGCTGAGGAGCCGTCAGCTGGTGCCACACTCCCCACTCACCTCCTCCTGCTGCAGAGGACAGGGAGCCCAAGGCCCGAGGAAGGCGGGTGCTTCCAGCTCTCTCCTTGGCCCACCCCGTCCTGGCAGCAGAAGTGGACAGAGGGTCAAGAGCCTGTCACTCTCCACAGGTGACATCATCCAGTGTGAGGAAGCCCGCCCACCCACAGCACACTAGCCTCCAAACGAGCCACCTCCTGTGAGTGCTACGAACTGTAGTACAGACAGACACGTGCAGAACCACGTTCATGGTGGACCACTCAACAGCAAGCAGGTGGGAACAGCTCCCATGCCCGCAGTGGGGAGCGGGCACAGACCTAGCCTGTACAGTGGAATACTTCGCAGTGTTCAAGAATGACCCCAAACCCTTGGGACAGCTCGGGCTATGGCAGAGCCTGGAGGGCAGCTTGCTGAGTGAAATGAGTCAGGCACACAAGGAGAAATCAAGGCACCTGGTAGCACTCCCTGGGCTGCTAGCAGCAAGGTCAGCAGTTTGAAACCACCTGCTGCTCTGAGGGACAAAGACGAGGTTTCCAGTCCTAGAACAGTTACATTCTTGGCAGGCCACAGGGCAGTGCTACCCTAATCCTTAGGATCGGGGCCAACTGGGTGGCAGTGAGGGTTTCTACATCGCTATAAAGCCTCGGGTTGAGGGCCTGGTATCTGAGACGGTAACAGAAAGACACTGGGAGGTGGCAGGAGTTCAAAGGCCACAGAGGCTAAACCTTGCAGCAGGTGTGCTGGACGAGAACATGCTGACCAGGACCATATTTGCCTGGCTGTGATGGAGGTCATCTGTGTACATGCACGGGCATCTATGAACGGGCGGGGGGGCAGGTGAGGGTTCCCAGGGGAACAGAGCCAGCCGGGCAGCAGTGTCCTAGGGAGGCACGCAAGATGCCCAAGGCACAAGAGGCGGGCTGGGGTCTCGGCAACATGTCTAGAGCTCCACACGCTAACAGCACGCTGCACGAGTCACAAGAATGGCAGTCCAACCCCACAGCGGCCCCTCAGAAAAGCCTGGCTGACCCTGGTTCTCAAGAACACGGTGTGGGGCTACACCCGACCTCCTGTGTCCCCAAGGCTGACTGCCACCTGGCAGGTGTCAGACCTGCCTCCACCCTCCACCCTACTCTGACACCACCCTCCCGCAGCTGTGGGCTTCTCTGTAGTGGGCACAGAACTCACAGACATGCTCCCAATGCCGGACTCGCTGGGGGAGCTCACAGGCTACCTTCAGGGGAGAACGCAGGACAACCTGCTCCAACACTCACGGGCGGGCCTCTCTCTGACCCGCAGCCTCTGGGCCTGATGTCTGCCCTGCTCAGGTAATGCTGCACAGCGCTCTGAAGGCTGCCGGTTAAGTATACAGAGGGCATGCCACTCCCCTGTCAGCCTCAGCCTGAGGCACTGGTTCAGTCTGCCAGGAACCCAGCTCCTAGAGAAGTCCCCACGGGCAGCCCAGTGCACTGCCAGCACTAAGCTGTCCCGCTGTGGGCTAGATGTCCAGTTGTCTGCCACCCTGTCCACCACCCTGTCCCAGGCGCTGGTTCTGCCACTGCTGCTCCCCTGGTGGCACACTGTGTCCGAGACCAGGGAGGGTCACTGCCCAGGAATCTCAGGTCGAGGACATGCTCCACCCTGGCTCTCCTCTGGGTGGTTGTGCTGGCTTCTGGCATGGCTCATTTGACACACCCACCCAGCAGGATGGGAACTGCTCTGAACCCTGCTCAATTCCCTCACAGCTGATGGACCCTGTCCAATCCGCCCTCACAGCTGATGGACCCTGTTCAACCCCCTCACAGCTGATGGACCCTGTTCAACCCCCTCACAGCTGATGGACCCTGTTCAA